TCAACCTTTAGCTTGTACAACATAGTTTCGACCTTGGTATTACTGTAGGTCGGCTATTTGATGTTGACAGGTGTTTACCTCTCAGGCCTGCAACTATTGCAGCTGCCAAGGCTTGCCCTTGAATGGAGTGCTCATTAATATCTCTGCATATTTTAATCCACACATCTAAGGTTCTATTCTTATGGGGTCTGATGGCATCTCTACAGGGTTTATTAGCCTGCTCATATGCCAACTGCTTGATCAATGGCATAGCTGAATCCACATTCGGAAACACCCTTCCTGCAGTTTCCATCATACGAGCTAGAAAATCAGCAAAGGGTTCACTCGGCCCCTGAAGGACCTTTGAAAGACTATCATTAAGGTTACCTGAGCCTGTCAGCATCTTCCACGCCTTAAGGGCTGCATCATTAATCTGAGAATATACTTGCTCTGGATATCCAATCTGATTATTAATAAAGACCCCTTGCCCCATAAGCATATCCACGTTCCATGCAGGCTGGCCATTGGCTGCATTAGCAGCTGCTAGTTCTACACAATATTCCAAGTAAGCAGATTTCCAATTCAAATAATCGCCCCCTGAAAGAACAGCCCTACAAAGATTTTGCCAATCAAAAGGAGTCATAGCACGTCTAGTAAGGCTTTCAACCTGAGTTATGGTATAAGCTGCTTGTATCCCATAAGTAGCCACAGATTCTTTCAATCTCTGAATTACTTTCCAGTCCAGGGGCTCGTGATATCTTTGATTGTTCTGATCATCAAACACTGGGAAAGCTCCATAACTAGGCACTAGATGGCGCCATATACCTGCACTAAGCGTGCGACAGCTCCTTTCTATGGAGGGCATAGCTTCCAGACAGTCTCTGTCCCACGGGGGAGCACTAGGCTCAACCTTTTCCTTTTTCCTTTTCTTTTTATTATTAGTAATTCTCAGCTGTTCCATAATGCTGTCTAAATCCTCAGAATCATACTCTTCCTCCTCTACTTCTGAAGCACAACACGCACTGAGTTGAGATGCTTCCTCTCTTGCTTCTTCTAAAGCCTGAGCTCCTTGAGCTATATCTTCCTCATACTTCCCTGTTTTATCCGCTAAACATGTCCGTACCAAAGTCCAAATAGCTAGAGTACCTCTAGGGAGGGGTTTTTTAGCATCTTTGCCTGATAACTCTTTTCCTAATCGCTCCCAAGAGGCAACATCTACAGACCCTTCCTCAAGAAACCAGGGGACCTCTGCTGCGATGGTATTCAAGAATTTTTCTACCGTCTCAGCCTTTATCTTGATCCTGCCACGTCCTAAGAGCTGCACTAGCGCAGTGTGCACTTTCGCTTTCGAGCCGCCAGCACCCATTTTCTTTGAATTGCTTCACCTCGTCCTTTTTAGGGAGCCTCAACCTCATCCCTTTCAGGGAACCTCAACCTCGTCCCTTTCAGGGAACCTCAACCTCGTCCCTTTCAGGGAACCTCGTCCTTGTTGATGATGTTAATATGGTCTATCGGTCTGTACAAGATCTTCAGGACCAGGTAGACTCACTGGCCGAGGTTGTCTTACAAAATAGACGGGGACTTGATTTACTAACAGCAGACAAGGGAGGTATCTGTTTAGCTTTACAGGAAAGATGCTGTTTTTATACCAACAAGTCCGGGATCGTCAGGGATTGGATCAGAAAGCACCAAGAAGAGCTAGAAAAAAGATGCCAAGAGCTCTTTGCAAACCCCATGTGGAGCATGTGGAATGGAATCCTGCCCTATCTTCTACCTCTCCTTGGGCCCCTGGTGGGGTTCTTGCTCATAATTTCCTTTGGGCCATGGGTGTTCTGAAAGATTACTGACTTTATTAAAAAACAAATTGATTTGGCCACTAAGGCCTCTATCCACTACCATCGGTTACAGCTTGAAGATCCAGAGGATAGTGAGTATGACACATCCCTTGGATCCCCCTCAGCACCCTTAGACTTTTCCACCCTTGCTAACCCACCCAATACTCGGTGGAACTTTAGTCGCTAATGAAAAGATCAATGACGGGAATATTGTGGTGCCAGAGATCGGAGGCAGATTCTCAGCTGTAAGGTACTCAATGACGGGAATAGCACAAACCCATGATTCAGGGGCATACCCCAAACTTGCGGGTACTGAACATAGAAGCAGTTTGTGTAGCCTAAGACAGGGGCCTTACCAAAAGAAACAAGAATCCCGACTCGGGAGACCCACCACATAGCCTAAGGCAGATCTTTCATTCGTTAAAGTTATTAATAAAGGGTGAGATGTCGGGAGCTGGAGAAACAACATTCATTACCAAAAAATATAATATGGCTCTACAAACAGTTGACTTAAGCAGGACATTCTGCCTGCACTAGTAACCTTGAGAAAGAATTTATGGCAAGGTTATCTTTCTCTTCCCCTTGCAAACAGTTCTCGGAAAAGATAAGTCATGCAGTAATCTCTTGGAATACCTGGTGGTCAGTCACGTTGCTGAATTGCTCAGTTCCCCCACCCCATACCCATAAGAATGCTGTAACCTTTGACCAACTTCTTCAACCCCTTCTAAATACAAACTGTATATAAGGAAAGCTTGCAATACAATAAAGCGACCCTTGACAAGTGGATTTGCTTGGGCTCTGTCTACTCTTTCTCGCCCATTTTTCCTTTCAGGGAGTGGTCCCCCTCGAGCTTTACCTGTACAGGGTCCCCGCAGGTGGGGGCAAGTTCTATACTCAAGAAGCACTTGATACAGTTTATTGGTTAGTGAGGTCGTCGAAGATCCCAGAATTTGATTTTCCAGTCACTCCCTGCAGAGACCAGGAAATGACAGTTAGCTTTGTACCACTGAATTTAATTTTATGCAGCCTGATCGTGGGCTAGAAAACACTGAAAGGGGTAGAGCTTTAAGGAGCCATTTGAGAGCCGTATCTGTTGGAGGGGTGAGTTAGTGGGAAGGTTCCAGAAAACCACCATTCCATTATAATATCCAGCAGCCAGGTGGTGGTGGGGCCTGGTAGGCATCCAGGCCAGGCTAAGGCACTGACCACACTCAGAGGGGTCTGAAGCTTGCACAGACCCCACCTGAAGGGTTTCCAAACACTGTACCTTATAGACGGCAGGCTTCATAGTATCTGGGGGCTGCTGAACCAACAGGGCTTCAGGATGTGGCAGATTGAATAACAGCACCTTCCCATCTAAGCCTCAACCTGGAGAACAAAGTCTTCATCCCAAGTGGTAGGGTCCTCTTCACCCTGACAGGCTGTCTGCTGCTGGATCTTCTTTGGTTTGGTGGGGCTGCTCACCTTGGGACTCAGGAGGACCACCAGACACTGGAGTGGGCAAGGCTGTTGAGAGCTCTTCAGTCAGTTCCTGAAGATACAGAAGTGCCGATGTTGTGCCCAGTTCGTGAGACCCCAAAGACCACCAAGGAGCTGACTGATGCAAATATACAAGGGTTCTTTTATTGTTACAAGCTTAAGCTTGGGCCCACTCTGTCACCGACTCAGCGGATCTCAGGTGTGAGACCCCTTGCTTTGGGAGACAGAGGTTTTTATAGGTTTATTTCAGCAAGTTCAGCAAATAAGGGGAGTTGGGGGTCTCCAGCCTGGTAATCATCTGATTGGTTGCAGCCCAGTGCCTAACCATAAACTGCTGCCTTCAGGAAATCTGAAGAGACATCTGGACTTTTAGTACCTTCCTGTCCCTGGTTAATTGACCGTTGGCGGGGGAGTTGTTCTCTATCCTTTCCAAGTATTGTGGTTTTTCTTGGAACAGGGCCCAGGGCTCGTTCAGTCCTATGGAGGTTTTATCCAAGATGGAGTCACTCAGGTCTCTCAACACTTGGGCAGCCCCTCAGTGGGGGTCATTCCCCAGAAGGGGACCCAAAGTCCTCAGGGGATCTCTTTGGATGTGGAGACTCTGGCTGATCTGGGCCTTTGGACAACTTCAGCAGTAGCAGGTCTCCCTTAGACTTTTGACTTCATTTCTTAGGCATGGGGGCAGATAGAGGGTTGGATTGATCTAAAAGACCAGGAACCACAGGGGTGGATGGAGGTTTACGCTGCTGGGGCCTTTTAGGGCCTTTTGGTGTCTTACCACTTCTCTTTCCAGCAGGCTTTGAGGCCCTAGGATTTGAGACCTTCGATATCTCTGAAGAAAGATCTTGTGGCTCCAGCCTGGTAAGACTTTCAGGCTCCCGAGGAAGCCTCCTCTTGTCAGAAGAGTCCTCAAATCCAGGCAGAGGAGCAGGCAATGGCATTTTGATGGACGTCTCCACCCTGGTGGTTTCTGAGGAGGCCTTGACATCAAGCTAGTTTAGCTCTTCTTGTCCAGGAAAGTCTACCATGGGGTCTGCCTCCTCATGGGGTCTGCCTCCCCCAAAGCAACATAGCGGACCCTGCAGGTATCCATCAGCATCACCCAAAATGGCTGCACTGCACCAAAGTCCTTCTGGAAGTCCTCACTCCTGTTGTTATAATTGAAGTTGATGAACTTCTTGCATTGTAGAGAACTGCTTCATTCAATAAGCTCTGATACTATAAACTGACTCAAATTGAAGAACTGATTGAGGAACTATATTTATAGTTCAAAATTGACATCTCTTTTTTTTTTGGTCTTTTGGAGGCAGGGTCTCCCTGTAGCCCCAGCTGTCCTGGAACTCACTATGTAGACCAGGCTGGCCTTGAACTCACAGAGATCTGCCTGCCTCTACCTCCCAAGTGCTGGGATTAAAGCCATGCACCACCACAGCCGTCCTCTTTTTTTTTAAAATAAATAATTTATTGAGAATTTCATACATGCATATAAGGTGTTTTGATCAAACCCATGCCCACTACCTCTCCTCCAACTCCTCCCATATCTCCCCATTACTATTTTCTGATAACTTCATGTACTTTATTCTTTGATTTTTTTTTCTAATGGGGCTTTTGGCTACTCTTAACATTCACCCCTCTGAAGAGGTAATGCTAAACTTTTTTAAGGATTAGATAAAAGTTCCCAAATATTTTCGTCATCTTGGGCCTTTGGAACGTAGTATGTTGCTAAGAGGCCCCAGGACATTGTCAGTTTTAGCCAAGAAACTGGCTACTTTTCTTTGGGGTCTTTTTACCCTAACTGCCTAGCCAATTCCTGCCTACTATTCTTATCATAACATCCTCTGAAGAGATTACCCAACTTGGGGACAGGGAATCAGGACACAGACCACTCTGGCTTCTTCCATGCTGAACAGGGACAGAGGGTGAGGCAATTGCAGTACCCCTTCAGTGGGTCTATCTAAAATACTCCAAAATTGCATAACTCTTATCTCTAGGGGGAAAAGAAAGTCCTTGAATCATGAATAGGAGATGTGAAGAAGAAAAGGCAAGAGTAATTAGCATTACAAGTTCTAGACAGGGAAAAAAGTCAGAACAGGGCAATTTTCAAATGTTCACATGAGAGTCCATTGGAGTTTCTTGACAAGGGTTTCCAAAAGCATCCGTCTATGGGTTTTTTCTTCATTTTTCTTTTTTTTTCCAAGGCTGGACTAGTTTGCTGGGAAGAGAGGCTGGATGTTCAGGTGAGGGTCCAGTGACCCTGCTTGGCATTCCTATAATGAATGAGCAGAACCTTCAACAAGCCCAATTGTGACTATGTTTAGCAATCAGGCTCAGCCGAGTTGTGATGATGGTAGTTATTTCATGCAGAAGGGACTACTGTACATCATCCTATTAAAAGGACCTGGAATTTAAAAGGATTTGGTGCTAGGAGCCACATATGAGGGAGAACATATGTCGTTTATTTTTCTGACTCTGTGTTACTTCACTTAATAAAAGTTTCTAGATCCATCCATTTAACAGCAAATTTCATTATCTTTTTTTTTTTACTGTTAAATAGAACTCCATTGTTTAAATATACCACATTTTTGTTAACCACTAGTCAGTTGAGGAGTTGAGAGACACTTAGGTTGCTTCCATCTCTTAGCTATTGTGAAAAGAGCAGCAACAAACATGGTTTTACAAGTGTCTCTACAATAGAATAAGTCTTTTGGGTATATGTCAAAGAGTGGTATAACCCAGTCACATGGTAGGTTCATTTTTAGGTTTTTTTTTGTTTGTTTGTTTGTTTGTTTTTAATCTTTTTGAGACAGGGTCTCCCTGGAGCTCACTACGTAGACCAGGGTGGCCTTGAACTCACAGAGATCTGCCTGCCTCTGCCTCCCGAGTGTTGGGATTAAAGGCGTGCACCACCACACCTGGCTGCTTTTATTTCTTTCTTCTCCTTTGACCCACTCATTGGTTAAGAGTATGTTGTTCAATTGTCACGAGTTCATGTAGTGACTAGAGCTTCATCCAGTGTTGATGTTGAGCTTTACTGCTTTGTGGTCTGATAGAGTGCATGGAATTATTTCAATATTTTTGTATTTGTTAAGGTTTGTTTTGTGGTCCAATATGTGATCAGTTTTTGAAAAAGCTCCATGAGGTGCCGAATAGAAAGTGTATTCTTTGGTGCTTCGGCAGAATAATTGAAAGATGTCTCTTAGGTCCGTTTGATGTATGGTATCATTTAATTCAGATGTCTCTCTGTTTATTCTTTGTCCAGTTGACCTGTCTAATGGAGACAGTGGGGTATTGAAGTCCCCTATTATTACTGAGTTGGGGTTAATCTGTGTCTTAAAGTCCTGTAGTGTTGTTTTTATGAAGTTGGGTGCAGCAGAATTTGGTGCATATGTGTTCATGATTGTAACATCTTCTTGATTTATTGTTCCTTTGATCAGAATGAAGCTCCTTATCTCTTCTGATTAGTTTTACTTTGAAGTCTATTTTGTCAAATATTAGAATTGCAACCCTTGCTTGTTTCTTAGTGCCATTTGCTTGGAACATTCTTTTCCATCCTTTTACTTTAAGGTAGTGCCTGTCCTTGAAGGTGAGATGGGTTTCCTGCAGACAGCAAAGAGATGGATTTTAGTTCTTAACCCATTTGCTTAGCCTGTGTCTTTTGACTGGGGAGTTCAGTCCATGGATATTTAAGGTTATTATTGAAAGGTGTTTATTGGTTGCTGTCATTTTGATTGCTATTTGTGTTCTCTGTGTAATTTTGTGTTGTCTAGATTATATCTTTGCTTATTTTCTTTCATTGTCCCAAGGTATAGTTGTTTCTCTGCTCTCTGTATTGCTTCAAGCATTCTTTGAAGGGCTCATTTTGTGGACATGTATTCTTCTTTCAGGCTATTCGTGTCATGGAAGATTTTTCTTTCCCCTTCAACTATAATAGACATTTTTGCTGGGTATAGAATTCTGGACTGGCATCTATTCTCATGTAGAACTGGAAATACCTTAGTCCAGGCTCTTCTGGCTTTCAGAGCTTGCACTGATAAGTCAGCTGTAATTCTGATGGGCTTTCCTTTGTATGTGACTTGTTTTTCTTTTGCTGCTTTCAGTATTCTCTTTGTTCTCTCTTTGTTTTTACTATGATATGTTGTGGGGAGTTTCTTTTCTGATCCTGTCTATTTGGTGTTCTATGTGCTTCCTGTATGTATGGGGGTGTCTTTCCTTAATTTTGGAAAATTCTCTTCTACAATACTGTTTAAGATCTAGTCAATACCATTAACCTAAAATTCTTCTCCTTCTTCTAGTCCTATGATCTGTAGATTTGGTCGTTTCATGGTGTCCCACATCTCTCACATATTCCATTCCTGTGTTTTTTAAAATTTTCCAAACTCTTTGCTTGAGTGGTCCAATTCTTCAACTTTATCCTCCAGTGTTGATATTCTGTTTTCCATTTCATTCATTCTAGAGGTGAAGCTTTCCCCTGTTGTTTCAAGTTGACTCATTGAGTTTTGCACTTCCTTCTTCATTTCTACCTGAGTTTTCTTCAATATTTCTATCTCTTATGAATTCATTCAGAAGTTTATCCTTATCTTCTTTTACCTTTTTGATTTGTTTGTTGGTTTTTTAAATTTGTTGAATTCCTTGATCATGTTTATGATTGTTCTTTTAAATTGAGTGTCCTGGGTTATCTCTAGGGGGTTCTCATTGTTCACCTGTAGACCAGGCTGGCCTTGAACTCTCAGAGATCTGCCTGCCTCTGCCTCCCAAGTGCTGGAACTAAAGGTGTATGCCACCAAGCCTGGCTTATCATTGTTCTTTTAAATTCAGTGTCCTGGGTTATCTCTAGGAGGTTCTACTTCTAGAACTATTCTACAGGATTGATGGGCTTTGCTAGGGACATAGTGTTTTGGCTTTCCATTTTATTATTCTTTGGTTGTGGTTTTGGCATGTGAATTTCTCTTGTTGTTTATGATTCTGATATGAAAATTAAGTTGAAGTATGTTTCTGTTTGTATTATCCGGGTGCCTAGTGACTTTCTTTATTGGTTATATAAAGCTGGTTGGTACAGGGTTCAGGTTCGTTGAGGTTTATTTTGGAGGGAACTGATGGCTTCAGATCAGCTATTCAGTGGTACCCACAGAAGCCCAATTCAGGTTCCAGTCAGGTACACTCAGGCTTTCTTCACCATATGGAGGCAGGATCTTGTGCATTTTCAACCCTATGCCAGAGGGAGGCCAAAGGGGGGCACTCTCTGTAGGTCTGCTGAGATCCCAACCTTGCCTACCAAAGCCAGATCTGCCCTGGGGCCTTGGGAGGGGCCTCACAAAATCCCAGGTAAGGGGGTAGTATGGCACAATTAGGGGAAGCTCACCACCACATGGAGGCAGCATCTGGGGGCTGTCAGGCTGTCCCCTGCGTTCTCAGGCCCTCTGGTAGTTGGAGGCCAGAGGGAGGCCAGAACCCAGCACTCTCTGGCAGTCTGCTGAGCTCGGAGCACCTACTCTGATGTAGGAGGTCTGAACCCACCCTTTCAGGCTGTCTGCTAGGATCTCAGACTTACCCTACCAAAGCCAGATCTGTCATGGGCCTTGGGAGGGGGCCTCACAAAATCCAATCCCTTGAACTCTTAAAGAAATATTTGGTTATAGTTTCCTTTTGGGTGTTTAAGACTATACAGTTGACCCAAATAAATGAATTTTATTTTTACACTTAAGGTCATTTCAGGATCTGTTCCTCAGAGGTCGCATGAGCTTGGGAGGAGCTCCTGACTCCTTTATTTTAGTAGTTCAATCTATGTGAAGATAAGTCAAATGTCCTGCTTGACCATGTCTGGCTTCACTTAGAAGCATGAATGAGATGGTTCCTCTAAGTTGATCCTCTTTTTTGTAGACTGGACACTGGTTCAAGTCCATCTCGTGGGGCCTCCCTGGCCTCCCTGAACAAGAGGACAGTTGAGTCACCACAGTTACAGGACATTTTGAGAGATGTTCTGTAGTCCCATGAATCTTAGTCTACCTTGGAGGGCAAGGGGCAAAAACTGTCCTTTAAGTCCCTCTGACCACATTAGTATAGGCCTCAAACTATGGCTGTTGAACATCCAATAAGGTTAGTTCCACCAGTCTGGTACTTTTA